AGTAGAGACGGGGTCTCGCTCTTGCTCAGGCTGGTTTCAAACTCCTGAGCTCAAACAATCTGCCCGTCTCGGCCTCCCAGAGAGCTAGGATTACAGGCGTGAGCCACCGCGCCTGGCCTAAAGTGTGTGCTTTTAATTATTAAATATTTATAAAGGAACACCAGGTCTGCCATTTGCTTTTCTCCTAACTAGAAGCATAGAATTTCTGCTCTCCAGGTTCTTTTAAAATAATATAATCTTGAGCTCTGAGACCCAGTTCTCACAAAAAGCTTGACATCCAGGAGTAATATTCACGAAGGATTAGAGTTCATTAAGTCCTGTAGATATCATGAATTTTGTCCCTGAGTTGAATCAGCCAATGAGAGAACAGCACACTTGGACCCTGTAGCTTTAGGTTTTCTCTTTCTGAGTTGTGCTTTTTGTCCTGAATTCACCTTCTGTCCTGTGTTTTATTGCATGGAATTCTCTCAGTTTATTTAATTAGTCTCCTCTTGAAAGATATTTAGGATGGTTCCTTTCTTTTGCTATTAAAGTCCTGTCGTGAGCGTCCTGTTTCTTATTTTTTTGTATACATATATGATTATATCTGCAGGATAAATTCCTAGAAGTAAAATTGTTAGGGTAAAGATTAGATTGATTTATAATCACAAAAGTGTATGGAGTTATGGAATACCTTTCGCTCTATTTTTTTTTTAGCTCTCTATACTTTTTGATATTTGATATCTCATGGTTGTTTTAATTTATATATCTCAACTCACAAGACAGACTGGACATTACCTGGTATGTTAGGAAGCCATTTTGCATTTACTTTTTTTAATCCTAATATGCTATATTTTTTATTTTATTAGCCAACTTAAAATCATTTTTGGAAACAAACAGGAATATATGTGTGCGTGTTCCTCATTTTATTTATGAAATTATAAATAGAGCACTCAATACTAATACTAAATAGAGAACTGATATTATACCAAATAGAACACTCAAACTAACATTTCAGTCTCCTTCTATTTGGAAATGATGTGATGAAGAGCTCTTAGAACTTGATGCTTTAAAATATTTAAAATTTTTACATGAAACATATCTTTCTCATTTCTTAATGCCTTTTGTTTATCCTTTTTAGATTGATTTTTCCACAGTGAAAAATATGATTACAGATAAACATGTTGTGTCTACTTTGCAAAGGTGGCGTCTCAATGTGCTGCGTTTGAATTTTCGTGGCTGTCTTTTCCGACCAAAAACTTTCAGATCTGTTAGTAAGTATGTTTATTACAACTATTTGTCTTGCTTTCCTGTATTCTAATTAGGCAAATATAAAGAAAAGCATAATTAAAGTGGAAACTTCAGGGAGTCTTAGTTTATAAGTATGCCAACTGTAACTATTTGAAAAGCTTATAATATGGTCAGCTCCTACTGGTCATTTGTCTATTCTTTTTGACCACTTGCTTTTTTTGTCTAGTATTTGTCTATCAGTGGATCATCAGTTTATCTACTAAAAAATACAAGAACATGTTCTCTTTTTTAAAAAAGATCTAACAATAGAAGTAAAAGCATCTTTTTTCCAATTCCCTCAAACCCATTCACTTACTCCAAGGCACCCAATGTATCAGTTTTCTGTTTTTGTAAAATACAGTAATACGTATGTGATTAAAAATACACAATTTTAATTTTTAACATGAAAGGGGTCATATCGTTTTATATTTTCTTTTATGTCCTGGAAATCTTTCCATGTCCGTACATACAGATCTACTAAATTCTTTTTAAAAACTATAATATCATTTTCCATATTATAGATGTACTATAATTTATTTAACCTTCTTCCTAGTGATGGACATTGAGATTATTTTCAATTTTTTCCAAGTTGGCTGCTTTGTACTTCCATTGTGATATTTGTCTTTAACATATATGTCCTTTGAGATTCATTTTTTACTTATCACATATATATTTCTGGAAATAAGAGAAACAGTATATTTTTAAAAAGTATACATTCATACTGACTCCATATAATAAGAAAAGAATGCCATATGCATGTATATGTATCAACTTGAATAAGTCTAAAGATATTAATGGGTACAATCAAGTTGCAGAATGATGTATATAATCTAATACCATTTATATACAGTTTTTGAATGTGCAAAATATTATACATATACTTTTTATCTTGAAATAATTTCAATAATACCTTTTTAAGGACACACATTCACATAATAACATAAAAAGCATGCATGGGAATGAAAAACTACAGACGCAAATAGTGGTTATGCAAGTATGTAGAGAAAGTTTAATGAAATGGGGAAGAGGTACACAAGGAGTTTTGATTGTCTCTGTAAATTTCTTTATTGAAAAAAGAAATTAAACAAAATGGAATAATTCTGATTGGTTATTGCTAGTACTGTATAAAGATATAGTTTTTCGTATGATCTTATTGTATCTAACTATGTATTAAGCTCTCTTCTTGGTTTTAATAGTTTGTCAGTTAATTCTCTTGGGTTTTCTACATAGAGTACCATCTGGGAATATTGACAGTTTTATTTCCATTTATTCCTATTATATTTTTTCTTTTTTTTCTCTCATTTTTTAACATTCTTTCCTTAGGATCTCCTTTGCAGTGTTGAAAAGTAGCAGGGATATACAACAATCTTGTCTTGTTCTTGAGTCCTT